AGGGCATGAAGCGGGATTATTTCCCTTTGCGTTCATTGTAATACAGTTTTGACTGTGCGTAACCGTGACCTCCTCCGGCTCAAACTCATGTTTAGCAAAGGATGGGTTGTGAAAGGTCATCCTTTGCCACGTGATTATTTCATTACCGTTCAGTTTTATATAGCACGAGGCAGTTCTCTGCTTTTGAGGAAAAGCTCGTGGGTGTGTTCGCACCGAAGAAGCACCTGCAAGTCCTCTCCGCTGTGTTTTGAGCGCAGAGCTGTCAGTGCCGGGGACCAAACCTGGAAAGCATCAAATCCCTCTCGTATTAGGGGAGGGCAGCGCCATGGAGAGACGTGAACTTGGCCTGGCACCCAGAGCTAATGTGCGCTTTGAAGCCAACTATGGAAAAAGGGATGCAGGGAAGGAAGGAAGCAAATCTTTCACGGTGTCGGACCGTGGCGACCTGCCCTGGGCAGAGGATCCCATCCGGTCCTCGGAGAGCGGAGCGGGTCGTCATCTGGATTCACACTGTCCTCTTCTCTGCAGCTTTTGGGCACCTGTTACCTCCACACGTGGGGGAGAACTTGATTTTAGAAAACTCTTATCTACATTTAAAGGAAGTAATTAGTGTGGGGGGGTCCTTTTATCCTGCACCCTCCTCTCCAGGGCCATACTACTGCAGCAGGCGTTGCTTCTTCCCCGCGGGAAACGCAGCAGAGCAGCCGACCTTTCTTAAAATCAAGTTAAAACTCTCTCTTCTTCATCCTGCATTGTGAAAGAGCGAACCTGCAGGTGGGGAAGGGTGGGAGAGGGCTCCCAAGCACGGAGTGTGATGGGGGAGGGCGAAACGCTGGTTCTACCGATGCAAAAATGCTGGGAAATAAATGGGGTTTGGGGTTTGTTTTTTTTTGTAATGAGCATCCGCTGGGAGGGCGCTTACCTGCCTCCCGCCAAACAGCGTTCAGAGTCGTAGCTCTGACCAAAGAGGGGCTGCAAATGTGGGGTTTGAATCTGCCACCGAAACATGCTCTTGTGCTCTTTGCCTTCCCCAGCAGCGCCGGCGGCGGTTCCCGCACGTCGTCAGAGCCGGGTCCCGGCACAGCGTAAGAGATCCGCGCGGCGCTTTGCCTCTGTTGCTGGGAGACAGTCGGGGGGAGCCGGGGCTGCTTGAACAAACACGCTTTTCTCCTCCTCCTCTATTCCCTCTCTCCCCACCTATTTCTTCTCTTTTTTTTCCTCTCTTGGTGACTGGTTATAGAAAAAGCTGGTCTGGAACCAGGCGATTCTTGCTTCAAGAACCTCTCAGATCCACTGAAGTAAATGTCTTTTAGATAAAGATCCCAGACAGTAGGTAGAAGAGCGGCTCCAGCTTAGAAATACACCTTGTAATGAAGCTAATTGACATAAATCTTCAAAGCTTAATGCCTTTAAACTGCTGGAGCTTGAACTGAATTGACCTCAAGACCCAAATTCTGCAGCGAGCCCTCGGGGTTGTGGCAGTATCCCAAAAATCCTGCTCGGGTTGGGTGCCTGTCTGCGGAGGGGGATAAAACAGTCCGTACCAAAGCCCTGGGTCTGATTTGGAAACGAGACGTGTTGTGCACCATCCCTCTTTTTCCCTCCAGTCCTGCATGGCCTTTCTGTGCTGACGATACGTAAGGGCACCGTGAAATTCCAGAGCTTTGCTGGGGAACGTTTGCTGCTCCGGAAGGGCGAAAACAGATAAAACCAGGGGGTTCTTGCCGAAATGGTGACTGGTAAAAACATGCATTGTGAGCCCTGGGTTACCGCTGGGTCCCAGTCCGTAACCTCTGCTGAGAAATAGGAGGCAATCAGTGCTTTTCAGTTACTTCACGTTGGCTGCAGGCTGGAGCAGAAGCTGCTGCATCGCTCGCGCATCCTTCGGGCTCCGTCACAACTAATGAGAAATGGGGAAGTTCTTTACAACCGAGCCCGTGGAGAGGAGCTGATGGAGGGAAGGTGACTGCCACAAATGCCTCCAACGGAGGGGAACAGTTAAAAGGCGTAATTGGGGTCGGAGAAAAGCTCAGCATCGCAAGGCAGACTTTAAATTCAATTTTTTTCCTCTTAACTGGTTCTGGTTTAGCTGATCCCACATTTCTGTTGCTGATAGTGCAGAGCTGCCGATTTACACAGGAGCCTTAGGTTAGCTGACAAAAAAAAATCCCAACTTTTTCTGGCAGCTCTCAAAGCTGTATTTCTGGGGCTTCCTCAGTCAGCCACAGTGAGCGGAGCCGGCGCGATGGGATGACCCGATGACGAGCTGTGTCATTTCTGTCTGAAGCAACAGCTGGGGATGTGAGCGGTTGCAAAATGAACCACCCTGTCTGTGTTTGATTTTTTTTTTTTTTTTTTTTTTTGTCATTTAAGGGCTGCCTCTGTCTACTTGCAGTCGGGCTATTTTTTTCTTTTCTGTGGCCTCATTTTTTTTTTTTTTTAATTTTTTTTTTTTTATTGCATCTTTTTAAACTTGAGCATAAAACGCAAAATCCCATTTCTGGTACAGTTAGCTCACGGGTTTTGATTAAAGTTCTGAATGACTTGTCTTCTGCAAGTAAAAGCTTTCACGTCCCGGGCTATCGTATCGATTCTCCTTTGGTGTTTTTACCCTCCTATGGCACCGGGGATCTGATCGCTCATCCTCCCCCTCTGCTGCCCCTCGGCCCGGCGTTTGGTGGTGTCCGGGCTTTGTCCATGCCCTGCCCGGCCCCGGCAGCCCCACGGCGATCCCGGCACGGGGCTCGGCTGTCTCCCAGGGCTTTTGGCAAAGGTCGTGCTCGAGCTCGGGTTAGGTCTGGGGGCAGAGGAGCGATGAGCGTTGTTGCCAGAGGTCCTGCGGGCAGCGTGCCCATGGCAGGAGCTGCACATCCAGCCCTTTCACAGCCCGTCCTTTAGCTGAAAGCTCTTTTCAGGACATACTTCACTTTTCTTCCATGCATGTTTGAATTTGGATTATTGGGGTTTTTTTCAGGCTGGTCTTCAAAGCTCCCAATAAACTAATATTAGCTGCATTTCCAGCCCAGCAGAAGTGCTCATCTTCATGGTTTTCTAGGGGCAGAGGATCCGCATCCTTTAATGATTCTTCTGTAGATGGCGTGAATGCCTTCTCCCTGGTGAGGTTGAACGCTCCCAGTGCACTGCGGGGCTGCTCCCCGCCAGCAAGAAGGACTTCATTGGAGATCTGACTTGGCAGGAGCCTTTTAAGACTGGCTGGGGCTTTTTGTTTCACCAAAAAGAACCTCTCCCTAGTGGAGTTCAGCTTCAAACCGCCGTCGATTTTGATGGGAAGTGGAGCTCTGGACTCCCCGCGGGGTTTCCAGGAGCCCCATTCGCCGGCCGGACACTTTGGGGAGCTCCTGCAGCTGCAGCGAGCAGAGCATCGCGCTGGGATGCAGGCACTGCACAGGCGCCTGGGGGACGAGGTCTGGGAAAACTTGGACTCCTTCCCTAAATCTGTCCTTAAAAGACCAGAAAGGGAAAAAAAAAATAATAAAAAAAGTAGTGTAAGAGTTGAAGTTTATTTTCCCCCCAGCTCTCTGTTGCCAGTCAATGTATCAAGCAACTGCTCTGAAGTGCCTCGGAGGAGTATTTTCTTGGGAGATTTCTGTTCAGGAATCTCTCACTGTGGACTCTCTTTTCTTTTCTTTTTTTTTTTTTATTTTTTTTTTTTTTTTAGTTTCCTGCTCGGTTATAGATTGAAGACTGGGGTAAGCAGCCAGACCTGAGCCTCTTCAGTGTCTCATTGCTCCATGGAAAATAATGGGCTTTCGTGCTTTAGATTATTGAAAATTCAGAATTGACTAACTGAGGTGCAATTTATCACATCTTTCATCTTAACAGAATTAATCTAGTAATTGTCGCTGTCAGTTTTCCCTCTGTAGCACTGTATTAGAAAGTCTTGACTTACAAATTCTGCTCAAGGATTGTTTTTGAAAAGTTTCTATTCTCATTTAAGGAAGTATCCTGTAGGTTGTATGAAAATTACAACTTGTATTAATTTTTTTTTTTTTTTTTTGTGGCAAATGCAGTCATTTATACACAACTCTTAAGTGGACTTGAAAAGACACCATCTCAGGCAGTGGTTTTTACCTTTTCCCTTAATTGCATGAGGTTTGCCTTGAGCTATTGACTGGGAATCGCTTAAATCAGGGGATGAAATTGTCTTTAGCTCCCTCTCCTGGGTAGTTAAGGCATTTGCCCCCACGATGCTGCCGCTTTTGCAGACTTGGATCTGTTCTCAAACTATTTCTAAGCATCTCTGCTCTCAGTGGAAGCGGTGAGGAGCGCAGCGTCCGTGCGCAGCGTTGGGAAATGTGATGCTTTAAAAAAAACCCCAAAACCAAAACAAAAAACAAACCATCAAAAATACCCAACAAACCCCAGGCTGAGGTGACGCCAAGTTTACTTTGTACGCTGCGAAAGAGTGAGCGAGAAGCGGTGAGGAGCGCAGCGTCTGTGCGCAGCGTTGGGAAATGTGATGCTTTAAAAAAAACCCAAAACCAAAACAAAAAACAAACCATCAAAAATACCCAACAAACCCCAGGCTGAGGTGACGCCAAGTTTACTTTGTACGCTGCGAAAGAGTGAGCGAGCTGCGCGCGTCGGGCTTTGCTGCTGGTGGAGGTGGGGCTGCATGTTTGTACAGGGTGAGCCGAGGAGTTCGGGGTTCCTTTCCTTCTCCCCGGCTTTGTGCTCCAGAGGGACGGTTTCGTTGGAGCTGTGTGCTCTCAGGCACTGGCGAGCCGTGGAAGGGAAGGCTCCGTGGATTCCCAACCTCTCCCCATCCCTTCCAAGTCACCCATCCTTACGAAGACTTTTCCAGGCGAGGTGTTAAGGGTACCTTGTCTGGGTCAGAGGTATCTTAACATCCTTTCCTGGATTTCTTCGGCAGTCACGTGGCGGGTGAAACCCCGGGGCTGCCTTTACCTTTTCCTCGGGCTTTATGAATAATTCAGCATGTGCTTTTTTTTTTTATGTTTGTTGTTGTTTATTTTCAGATTGAGAAAATCATGAGTTCCATCGGCGAAGGCATTGACTTTTCTCAGGAGCAGCAGAGGATCTCAGGTAGCGTACCCGGCTCGCGTGTGTCCGTCTTGGTTGTGCTCTGTACAAAAAGAAGGTGCCGGTTCCTGCCTGTCGCACTCCCGACCCTGCTGCGGCTCCCAGAAGGGAAGGGAAGGCTCTGGCACAGCAGGAGCAGACCTCGGCTTCCCAGCGTAACGCTCGGTACTGGTACCAGCGATTTTAATTCAATACTCCCTTAGGTAGATTAATTTAATTTTATAGAACGCAGCTCTCCTGCTCCCTGCAGGCTTTCGGGGGAAACGGGACCAGCATTGCGGCCGGTACCCCCAGCCTGATGGAAAAGTGAGGGGGAGAACCCCAGTTACCCCAGTGTTGATTAATATTCACCCAGTGACAGCAATGGGTGTGTGTAGGGGGTCTTGTTTCTTGTTGAGACTGCCTGTTTATAAATTGTGGGGCGTAGTAGAATATGGTAAATTTTGAGGTGATGTTTTGCATCTTCGAATAGCTTTAAACAAAGGCTTATTGTTGAGAATTGTGGAGTTTTTATGGTGCCTTCCAATAACTGAAGTGACTCCTTATAGTCCTCCTATGACTCCCTTTAGGCGGAGATGAGAGTTGCTGGTTTGTGGGGGGGGTCTGGGACGTTCCCTGCGCGCTTCTGCAAGCTGGCGGCAGCAAGATCAGCTCCGGCATGGCTGACGCGGCGCCCCTGCTCACGCAGCCCCACGACCACTGCGTTCTCCTACTTAAAACTTCCCAACTAGGCTTTGCTCGATGTGTAGGGGGAAGATCAGGTTTTCCGCACGTACGAAAAAAATTGGATTTGCAGCTGAAAGATGGTGTCAGGACTGCAGCCAGTATCCCAGGGACAGAAACTTCTACTGATGCTGGCTCCTGCACTTACTGTTGTTCTCGACATAGCCTCTGAGAAAGTCGAACTGATTGCTTACAGTTCTCCTCTGCCTTTCCGAATATGTTTGTCTCAAGTTTCTCTTCTTCTCTGGTGGATAGCAACAAAATTTTCTTTAAGCAGTCAGTCTGAAACGGAGCCGCTGCATATTTGTCTTCTGGCTGGTCTCGCAATCCCCACGACAATCTTGCTTTTGTTTCAAATACATAATGCAGTAGCAAGATGTTCTTTTTTTTTCGGGCTTTTTTTTTTTTTTCATTATGGAAGTGCGGGTCAGTCCCTTTGGAAAGGAGCAGAACCTCTCCACAGCCCTCCACAGTCTCGTATCTTATTCTTTAAGGCTCTCAAAATCCTTTCAGCCCCGGGAGGATGGGGTGGGAATTTTGTATTTTGAGTTGGACATCGGGGTGACTGTAGCCAAGCTATTAAATATCCGTGTTACCTCCACGGCGGTTCACCCATCCCGGCTGCACGCTCGCTGCTGGGCATGTTTGGAAATAAAGCTGCTCCACGGGCACGGAGGGAGTTGTGGGCTCGGAGGTGCTGTCTGGCTGCTGGTGGGGCTCGGGGGGGTTCGGTGTACGTCGGGTTGTGTGAGACGGTGCCCTTTAGGGGCTGTTTGTATTTCACAGATTAAGGAGCATTTCTTGGGGACAGGGAATGCTTGAGCAAAGCCTGCGCGGGGCGAAGGGTCCTGCTCGGGCGGTGTGTCTCAACTGGAGCTTACCGAGGGCCGGTTTGAGGTTGGTTGCAATAGAATAAGGCGTAAAGAGCAGTTTCTGCCACCCAGCCTCTAAAACAAGCTGTCTGGAGCAGCTGGAGTATTGCAGCGATTTTCAAGCAAAAACCTTCTTTACCAGAATATTTTAGCATTTCTTCTCCAACTTTCCACCTGTAAAACTCTAGATGCCCTATCGTTGCTTCAAATCAGATAAAACTCATCACAATTTCTTATTTCTATATATTTCACCTACCTACTTCTATGACCTTGAAGTATGTAGTTTTATTAATTTTATAGCAAAACTTTATAAATAGTGTGTGAGATGATTTAGTTGTGTGTTTTGTCTTCGCTTTTTCCAATTTCCAAAAAACAAGATGAAGAAGGAATCGTAGTGTCATTTAGTGCATTGATTTTCCTCAAACAGAGCACCGTCCTCCCCCAGCCATGTTTGCAACCATTATAACTCTTATCTCCGCAGCGCAGCGTCAGAGCTGAGGGAGACGATCCCGGGTTAAAACACTCCATTTCCATAAGTGTGGTAAGCAGAGACGGCCGGAACACGGGGAGTAACGAACCCTGTGCCGAGTTTGTGTTCAGGATCCGGACCACAGCGCTGGAGAGAACCAAATCTCAGTTAAAAATCCTCCTCCGTTGCTCCTGCAGTGACGCCATCGGCTCTGCGGGATCCTTTTGTCATTTTATCGCTTTTTTCCTATACTTTTTGTGCCTCCTTTGGAGGAAAGGAGGTGTGAAGGGGAGGTGGAACTAGTAGAGGAAGGAGGCTTTGATAGCGGTGCAGATGTCCCTAGATGTGTCTCCATGCCATTTGCAGAGCCGGGGAATCACCGACCCCTTTCCCAGCCGACTGTCTCAATGCTTTTACCTTTCTGAGTTGCTCGGGAGGTTTATTTTAATTCTTTTCTTCCCGGGATGCAACTTCATTCTGGAAACCAGCGGTTGGAGGAACCCGTCCTCCCCGCTGCTGCAGGCAGAGCCGTGGGTCCTCGGGAGCGCTGTCTCCCGCACGGAGCCGAGTCCCTGACCAGCAAAGGAGGAGATAATTGCTTGGCTTTAATGGTGCCTTTTGAAACGGAGCTGTTTGTAGCGAGACACAGCGTACAGGGCGTGATTAAACGGATGCCGATGAACTCTGCCATCTGGGGACCAAAGGTGCCTAAACGTCATGTGCTGCTCGAGCGTTTTAGAAAATCTACGTCTTGGAATTGTTGTCATGGGAAACACTTTCTGATGGTGAGACCAGTTCAGCTGTGGCAGTGCCGTCCTTCTCGCTGACCAGGTGCCACCGTCCCAATAGCTGGGAACAGTCCTGCCTGTCTGGGGACACGGCCATCTCCCGATGCCTCTTGGATTTCTCCACAGGGGGAAGGATCGTCCTCCCCCGGCCGCTTCTGTTGGGGCAGCGGCTGTGCTGGGAGCGGGACTGGGGTGATGCCAGTTGTGGGTCAGCACTGTGGTCGTGGTGGCCGTGCTCTTTGGATGTGGTAAATCTGCCACGTGCCTCAACGTGGGTGATGCTAGGCTTTGTCTGAGTATTCCTGTGGGTACCGATATCCACTAACCGAGGCTGCGTACAGGTCAGGCGCTTCCCCCCCCCCGTACTTTAGACACGAATTCCCTTCTCTGCCTCTAAATCAGGAGCAAAGACAAAAGAAGAACTGGAGAGCTCGTTTGCCTTTGCGGCAGCGTGATGGAGGGTGCTGGAGAACTGCCACCGGGAGGGATTCTGTCCTTTTAAATCCTTCACCTCCAAACTGCTGCATCTGAACCGCGCCGGGTGGGCAGCGTCTCCTCTTGATGAGATGCTAATGTGTACCCGCGCACGCAGCTCACGCTTCCCGTAATAAAGCTTATCCCGTATCCATTTGTCACTTGGGTTTTCGCTTTGGTGAGGAGGAATCCGCCGTGCCTTCCCAGTGGGAGTTTAACCTGTGCCTGCCCTGGATACTACGTACTGATTAGGGCTTAGGATTTTTAGGGTCAAATGCCTTTGCAGAGGGATGCGAAACAGCGCGTGGGTTTGGGTCTAATGTGATGGCAACTGCTTTTAGCATCCTGCTTTGTGACAAGCCCTCCCCTCCCTGAGCCGGTCCGTAGCCGTAGCAGCTCGTGTGATGGATCGATATCGTTAGTGGAGAGGTCTAACATGGAGGGGAGAGGAGGAGCCAACGCTTCAGCAAAAGCTGCCGTTGTGCGGGGAGTTTTCAGCAAAATGGACACCCAGCGCTGGAAGCAGGCGGCCCCCGGAGCTGCCTCGTCCTTAAGCCATGTGTTTTCCCACGGGCTGCGCTGCGTTACGCTTGGGTTGGGATGCCTCGTACGCACGTCAGCTGCTGTACGTATTCCCGGTTTCTCCGTCCTTTCCTATGAGCGCCGCTAGCCCGGGAGCGGGCAGCGCTGTGCCAGCCCCTCGCCGGGAGGGCGAAGGCTGTCCCGGGCTGTGCGCGCCCTCACGTTTTTGTTTTCTAGCAGCGTTTAGCTTTTGCTCCTCAGGACGTCGCAAGGGCTGTTTTACAGCTTCAGGTCGTATCACAAACGCGCAGGGAGCCGCAGGGAACTTTCCAAATGCTCTCACATCCCCAGAAACGGGCGAGCTTTGAGGATATTTGGGGCTCCTGACTAGTTTGGTGTCTGGAATTGTTAGTTCGGCTGGAAAGGTGAAACGCCTTGCTTGGCAGCTACTGCAGAGATATGTACGTGTGGAGTCTGCTTACACATGCAGTTTTTACATAGAACTGACTGGGACGGTTGGGACAGGGAACTGCTGGAGAGAGTCCAGCGAAGGGCAACTAAGATGATTGAGGTATTGGAGCATCTCCCGTGTGAGGAAAGGCTGAGAGCACTGGGACTCTTCAGCCTGGAGAAGAGAAGGCTGAGGGGAGACCTTATTATTACTTACAAATATCTAAAGGGTGGGCTGAAGGAGGATGGAGCCAGACTCTTCTCGGTGGTTCCCAGTGACAGGACGAGGGGCAATGGGTGCAAGTTGGAACAGAGGAAGTTCTGTTCAAATCCACGGAGAACCTTCTTTACGGTTGGGGTGGCAGAGCAGTGGCACAGGCTGCCCGGGGGGGTGTGGAGTCCCCTTCTCTGGGGGTTTTCAAGCCCCGCCTGGATGCAGTCCTGAGGGATGTGCTCTGGGCAGTTCTGCTTCAGCAGGGGAGTGGGACGAGATGATCTCTAGAGGTCCCTTCCAACTCTGAAAATTCTGTGACTGGGGTCTGGGGGGAGCAGGGACCTTTGGGGTTGTGCTGGAACAAGCCCAGGCCCTGAGACGCTTGATTTTGGGTCCCTGCTGTGCCTGACTTCCCCTACAAATCTGTGCAAACGGCTGGTTTCTGTCCCATCAGGCTTTTCCCCATAAAACAGGGTAACAAAACTTCCATGTCATGGATGAGCACATTAAACTTTCTGAGGCCCCCGGAAGATAAGACAATTCGGTACACCCTGGCGTCTTTATACAGCTCAGAGCTTGAATCTGTTTCTTGGCCAACTGAGGTTCGACCCTCTCATTTCCTGGCAGAGATTGTAAGAAAACCTTCCAAATGTGTTTCCTGAGGATGGGGTGGTATAGGCGGGAGGAAAGGAGGAGTCTATCCCCGATGCGTGTTGGTAAGTGCTTTTCGGAGGTTGGGGAATCAAGGAATCTCTTAAAGGATACCAGACCCCATCTAACCTCTGCCTTAAAGGAGTTTTTTTGGCCTGGGGACAGTTCAGTCTGTGTCTCTCTGCACGTTTGTTTTGCAGTCATGCATTTCTTCAGCTCCAGCAACCCACTTTTGATCATCTCTTCCTTCCAGAGGTGGGTCAGAGGGCTTCGGGGAGTCCAGGTCTCGCAGCAGAAGCTCAACCCCACCGCGCTGCAGCGTCTCGCCTCGGGCAAGAGACCTGCGTGTGGCGCCCTGGCTTACGGCGATTTGTCAGGCGGCGTTTCTCTCCCCAAAAATAGAGGAGACGGGTGGTCTCTGCTCGATAAATCAGCCGGCTGCAGGCAGGAGGCGTGCTGCACTGGCTGGGGAATGCATCTGGGGCTTGGGGAGTTAACTCTGCGGCTGACGGGAGACATGAGGAACGTGCTCGGTGTTTTACTTGACAAAAGAGGGAGAAATTTGTTAGCAATCTGCATTTGGCTAATTGATCTTAGTTCCAGTAAAGTCGGATGCCGGCTGTATTTCTTGCATCTGATGGCATTAAGGACTACATTCTCTGTGCCTATCCATCTTGGCTAATGTGCTGCCGGAGTTTATAGCCCCCCTCAATGGATTGAAGCTGATGATCGTCCCCAGCTGTGGCAATAACTGCCTGACTGGGTTGCCTTCTGTGCTGACTTTGTGTGTGGACGGTGGTTTCATCAACGCTTGCTTGGACTTGCAGATATTGCTTCCCGGAGAAGCTCGGTCACGTGTCTTCAGGCCACACCAGGTTATGTTAAACATTTCCCAGTTTCTGTGAGCAAACGCGGTGATGCTTTTTGTCCAACGTGGCCCACCTACTTATTTCTTCCTCCAAACAGACTCAAACTTTGCACCAAAGGGCATTATTGAAGCAATAAGTTGTGAAAGGAGCTTTCTGAGCCCTGGTAGCCCTCTCCCTTTCCCGTTTTCCTTGAAGCGTGCTGTCTCACTTGAAAAATGTCTTGCAGGAGGAGCTGCATTGCTTGCCTGGCTTTTGTTTTGCAACTTTTAAATGCTCAAGTTATTTCTAACTAGACTCTAGTGATGTTTCCCCACTGCCATGCGCAGACCTTTTATAGGCAGGATTCCTAAAATGTGGAGCATAAGGAGAAATGGATGGAGCTGCGAATTAGGAGTTTGTTTTAAGCAGAAGTTGAGATCAGGCTCTTGCTGGGGGTCACAGGGACTGGGATTTGCTCCTGTGTCATCCTCTTAACCTGCAAATAGTCAGTGTATTTTGGACCTCGGCGTTTTCAGCCTAGGATGTTTTGGGGCGTCTGTTCTCCTCTTTTTCTTTTTAAAGTGAACCCCTCCATTCATTTCCCTCCAAATACCCACTCCCCCTTCATTTTGTCTTGATGTGTAGTGGTTTTAAAACCAGAAAGCCCGCACTTGGTGTCACTGTAGGTTTCCCTTTAAAAGCAGAAATACATTTATGAGTGTACAAAAGCCTGAGGAGAGTAAGTAATTTTTTAAAAACGAGATTCAGGAGCTCGGAGGAAGGCAGTGCTGTGGTTTCATTCCCCCTGCCAATACCCCGACTGCTTCCAGAAACGCTGTAGTAGGCAGCGAGCAGTCTCCTCACCTCTCTCTCGATAAATTAATTCTGAGCCAGCCACAAATCACTTGGAACTGTCAAAGCAGACCCGTAACGTCATTTTTTGCTGCAAACCCGAGCCGTGTAGTCCATCACTGAGTAAATATTGAGAAGTCAGTAATTTCCACTAGAGAGTTATAAAGCTGCCGTCTCCCTCCCCTCTCCTGCAGCTTCTGCTGCGAAGGCTGCTCGCTGTCGTGCGGCGGATGGAAGAGCTGGGAGGGGTGAGAGGATGAGGAGAAGGGAGGGACAGGCGATGCGAGAGCAGGAGACAGGACTGAGAGTGGAACGGCAAGCCTGGAGCTCGCTGCCTTCAGACAAAGCCCGCCGCTGCAGCGCTCTGCAAGGACGCGCGATGGCTTGGTGAGGGGACACGGCGGCCGGCGGAGCAGCGAGGACGCAGGGAAGGATGGAGAAGGGAAGGATGGAGATCCCCGGCGAGCAGGAGCTTGTTGCGTAAATTCCAGGTTTAGATGCTGCCCTTCTGCACAGGCTGTGTTAGGGGAGGGAGACGGAAACCTTTTGTGCTCTCGGCGTTTCTCGTGCTGCAGTGTGCACTAGAAAGACGGGGCAGCTCTCCGGAACGCGCCGAGCGCGGTTCGCCTGGCAGAGGAGCTCTCCTGCGGACCAGAGCAGCCGGATTCTGTACCCCAAGATTTTCCAGATAACAGCGTGAGCTCTGCCTCGTGCAGCCATTGCAGCGGGGGGTGGGG